TAACAAAAGTATAGTGGTTTATGAAATGAATTTCAAATCCCGTAAAACTAATTGTGTGTTTTCTTGTCTTATTTTTGAGCATCTCTGGCCGTGTTTTTCCCTCTGTGACAAAAGCACGTCTGTGTGCGGATAATATTCCGCACTTTGAGTATGGAGAGAGATTATACAAATGATGAGTTTCATACCTCTTAAACTAATGATGATAACTAGTTTATAAAAAGAAAAAGGGAAGAAGAACTTCAAAGGTTCGCATGTGGGTTGCCAGCCTCTCCTGCCTCCCGTGCACGGGGCTTTCCTCTCGTTTTGATCAAGGCCGTTCCCAGCACTTCTGCTGCAATCCTTGCGAGCCTTTGATCTCCTTATCAACGTGGCCACCGGCGCGACCGGCCCGGCTTGCAGAGCGCGTGACCGTGCGATGCCACCACCACCACCTCCCGTCCGGCTCGCATGGATCCTGCCGGGGAGCTCCAGGGGCTCCTTTCCTTCCTCCCTGTCTTCCAGCCTACGTAGTCTTGACCTCACGTCAGTTTTCATAGGAACGCGGTTGAGTCACACTAGCTCTAATGGCCAAGCTGGCCTGGTGCAGGTGGACCATCAGCAAGGGTGGCCCAAGCACCTCCTGTGGGTGTGCTGAAAGGACCCTTCCAAGGCCAAAGGACAATGTTTGGCTCTCTGCTTGCCTGGCCCATAAGTAACTGCAGCCAGGAGAGCCCTGGTGTCACCTTTGGAGCCTTCATGTCGCCACCCCTTGGCCCAGCTTGACCACAGGGAGACAACAATGCGGTGACATCCCTTCTGGAGCCAGACACTGGTGAAGCAACGTCCTCGTGGGCACTTAACACATCCATCTCTACTCGTTCCAAGAAAAGCTCTCTCCCAAAAAAAAAGAAGAGAGAAAAAAAAAAAAAAGGAAAAAAAAAAGTTTCTCTTATTACACCGCTCATTGCTTTGCTGGGCACAGTTTCTTTTCATCTGAAATCACTCCTTATTGGTGCTGCAGTCTGGCTTCTGTCTTGGTTCTGGATGCAATACAGGGCAGTATTCAACAAGGAGAGGACACACACACAGATATAGATATAAATATATGCACATACACATATACATATATTTGTGTGTGTATATATATATATGTACATATATATATAATTTTATATCATTTTCCTTCCCTCCAGCCCAGGAATTCAGAACCAAGCTTTGACTGGAAAAATCAGAAGAAAATTTTAAAGAYGCTCCACTTTCTTGATGATGTAGCTGCTTCCTGAACGCAGAGGTCCCTGCAGGTCTGTGGATAACGACTTCCAGAAATTGATGAAGATAAAGGAAAGGGTGGAAGCCCTTCTGGTGCCTGCCACACCGCCTAGTTCATCAGCTTCCTCCCAGAGGATCCCATATGGTGGCAGGTGAATCTGCCCTCTTGATGGAAGATGTTCTGGTGGGACGTGCAGAAAATGAGATGGGGCCCCCGCAGCTCTCAGAAGGCCAAAGTGCTCCATGAACATTTAACCATGAGGGTAAGTCCCCACGCTCGTGCTCCTGGCCACCGAGCACCCACTTTTGGTGGCCATGGGAGAGGTCAGTGGGATGGCAAGTGCATTGGGTGGGTTGCTCATGGGATCCTAGGGGATTCGGTGGGTTCGTTGGTCGCTTGGTGGGTTGGTTGGTTGCTTGGTGYGCTCCTGAGGTGGTTTGGAGGAAGGTAGTTGATTCAATGACATCTTTATGCTTTTGTAAATGTGACAAAATGACACTTGAAGGGGCTTTCTTCCAAAGTGGAGAGTTTTGAGGGTTGTGTTAACAACTTGGCTTGCTCTGCTGGAGTAGCCAAGTGAGTGGGAGATGCAAGTGCCAGGAGGGTATCCATCAAGTAGGTGGCTGTCCTGGTTGGAGTTGTCCTTCCAAGCCCCCTTGCAAAGAGCCCRGGGAGCAGGGGCTGGTCACTCGCCCTGGAAAGGGTCATTTTTCATGGCTCAGGAGCGCCTGGCATCGCGGCACGTCAGTCCTTGTCAATAGCAGCAGTGAAAATCCTGCGAATTCTCCCCGTTTGCAGCCACGTGTTGCGCTGAGAAGTGGCTCCGAGTGCTCAGAGCCAAGGGATGGTGGAAAGTTTGTTCTGATGGGGGCCGTTTCCAGGCCTGAAAAACACCTCGTGATGGAAGAGGTGCCTCAAAGGGGGCCAGGGCCAGGCAGGGCCTTCTCGGTGCCGCCCTTGTCATCCTGGTGGTGGCAGGAGGACACGAAGCTGCCAGAGCTCCCAAGCTGGGGCCGAGCGCCCGGTCCGGGCCCCTGTGACAGGGGATAGGGACAGAAGGGCTGGTGGTTGCCGAGGCTGAGGACGGGCTGCACTCGCTGCTCGTGTGTCCTAACAGTGATGTTCATTGCATGAGAGGTTCAACGCCATTGGGGCTCCTTTCCTATAGCTTTTCCATAGGGGAATAGCTCACGTGGGGCCTCCGGGAGGCCAGGAAATGTGGCAGGCAGTAAGAGCAGTAAGAATGATAATTTAAAAAAATAAATAAAGAGAGAAAAAAAGAATGGCCATTGCAGAGCCCATCCCATGACACAGGGACCCAACGTGGGGACCATTTCTGCCCATGGCAGCAGCCAAGCCCACGCGCAGCCTTGAGGCTGCAGGCGCCTTGGAGCTAGAGCCCGGCTTTGGGGGCCAATGTCTAATTAAAACCTGTTGTAGATTTTTTATTTTTTTAGGGGAAAAAAAAAAAATCTTGTGTCTGTTTAATGTTTAACAGATGGGGGGGAATGTGAACACAACTGCAGGCAGAGTTTTGCTGATGTGCCAGTGCGATTGCAATCAGATATTGTTTAATTAGTGCGCAGGGTGAAAAGATGTTTAGTTACTCTA